GACCCATGTAAAGTGTGTGAAGTCATCAGCAGCTTTGACCCATGTAAAGTGTGTGAAGTCATGAGCAGCTTTGACCCATGTCAACTGTGTAAAATCATGAGCAACCTTGACCCATGTCAAATGTGTGAAGTCATGAGCAGCCTTGACCCATGTTTATAGTGTGAAGTCATGAGCTGCCTTGACCCATGTCAACTGTGTGAAGTCATGAGCTGCCTTGACCCATGTCAACTGTGTAAAATCATGAGCAGCCTTGACCCGTCATCTGTGCGAAGTCATGAGCAGCCTTGACCCATGTTTATAGTGTGAAGTCATGAGCTGCCTTGACCCATGGCAACTGTGTGAAGTCATGGGCTGCCTTGACCCATGTAAACTGTGTAAAATCATGAGCAGCCTTGACCCGTCAACTGTGCGAAGTCATGAGCAGCCTTGACCCATGTCAACTGTGTGAAGTCATGAGCTGCCTTGACCCATGGCAACTGTGTGAAGTCATGGGCTGCCTTGACCCATGTCAACTGTGTGATGTCATGTTTGTTAATTTGTTGTTTAATGCCACACTCAGCAATATTCCAGCTTTATGACGGCGGTCTGTAAATAATTGAATCTGGATCAGACAATCCAGTGATTGACATCATGAGCATCGATCCACGCAATTTGGGATACAATGAGATGCATCAACCAAGTCAGCGAGCCTGACCACCCGATCCTGTTATTCACATCTTATGACAAGCATAGTCGCCTTTTACGGCAAGCATGGGTTGCTGAAGACCTATGAGCAGCCTTGACCATTGTTAATAGTGTGAAGTCATGAGAAGCTTTGACCCATGTAAAGTGTGTGAAGTCATGAGCAGCTTTGACCCATGTAAAGTGTGTGAAGTCTAAGCAGCTTTGACCCATGTAAAGTGTGTGAAGTCATGAGCAGCTTTGACCCATGTAAAGTGTGTGAAGTCATGAGCAGCCCTGACCCATGTTGATAGTTTGAAGTCAGGAGCAGCCTTGATTTGATTGCTGATTAACATCACACTCCGCAATATTCCAGCCATATGACAGCAGTCTGTAAATACTTAAGTGATTGACATCATGAGCCTCGATCTATTGAGATACCATGACATGCATCAACAAAGTCAGCGAGCCTGGCCACCCAATACCGTTTGTTACCTCTTTACAAGCATAGTCGCCTCTTATGACAAGCATGGGTAGCTGAAGACAAATTCTAACCTTTCATTATGTGCAGCCTTGATCTATGTAGACAGTGAGATCACTGTAAGTGCCAAATGAAATTATAAGCAGCCTTGACCCACATCAAATTATTATGAGCAGCTTTGTGAAGACATTATAGGCGAGGGGAAATGGGGTTTAACATCACATTTAAATTTACTGCACTTGTATGATGCAATTGTGGTTGAAATGATCTTACGTATACCCACATCGAGCCGACCAGTCCTTTTTTATCCCTTTAATGCAGAGCACCAGGAGGGTATCAACAATTACCATCTTTCCACATCCTTTGGCATCATGTGGCCATTGAGCAAACCACCGACCTGTTCTCCAGGCACACACTCTATCCAGTACACAAAGGAAGTGGTCAAAAACGTAACAATCAGCCTTGACCTATGTCAGCAACCGGTAAGCAGATACATAAGAGTGAGTGAGTGAGTATGGTTTTACGCCGCTTTTAGCAATATTCCAGCAATATCACGGTGGGGGACACCAGAAATGGGCTTCACACATTGTACCCATGTCGGGAATCGAACCCGGGTCTTCAGCGTGACGAGCGAACGCTTTAACCACTAGGCTACCCGACCGCCCCTGATACATAAGAATATGCTTATACTAAACTTCATTTCATAGGAACACCACTTGTCAATAGATTTGATATCAAAAGACACGAGGGTGAGTTTCTATTATTAAAATGCAGGCATTGTGAACACTTGAACTGCTCTGCACATGATAGGTTTCTTTCCTTGAATCACTGGCACCCAAATATATTGGCATAGAAAGGATATTGCACTTGAGTTCAAGGACATGGAATGACAAGACATAATTCAAAGGATTCTACACGTTTTAATTTCAAGTGTAAAGAGTGCAGTCCTTAAGTTACAAAAAAAAGATCACAAAATACAGACAGGTGAAATATAATAACAGCATATAAATCTTTGAATAGCCATATCTTTTTGTACTGTATTTCACCAAAGTGATAAACATCTTGTGCCTGATTATTATACCATACAAACACCGCCATATGCAATTATCCAAAAGTTGTACGTTTTCTTACATGCATAAGGGTTCAGCAATTTCTAAAACTAAAGTGGATTGTTGGACAATGTGTCAACACATGAAAGAAAAACAACAAAATGTGAGTCTTGCAGAAGTTTTTTATTGCAGCCTCATTGTGCCATATTAACAGTCACTGTTACATGGACTGACTCACTGCAACAAACGGAGTAATTTTCTAAATCTTATCAAATACATGTATGTGTTCATCTTATCCAAGTGCCTTCATGAGTGGCACAGCCACAAGCAAATATTGTAAACTTTTTCAGGATATCAAATGAAAGAATTTACAGACATATTTGTCTCAACATTAGAGTCCCATCATGTGTCCTATTAAAGTTGATATTTTCAGCAAAGAAATGGTCTCTCAGATATGAATGATGGCATTACATGCGTGAGTGAGTGAATGAATGAGTGATTTGGGGTTTAATGTCACTTTGAACAGCATGTCAACTTAATGAGGGAGGAAAGCCTTCGTGGTGCTCTAATCTAACAAGTACGAACATGGGTATGGTGCTGACAAATTAAGATTCTGGGATTCAAACACACAATTTTAGTACCCTGACATGCCTAAGAGATGCGATACCTGACAAGTTTATCATTAGCTCAGCATTGAGTTGATAGGATGCAATGTACAGAACCAGTGAGTGAGTGAGTTGGGTTTAACGCTGCTTTTAACAGTATTCAAGTTTTTCGCAGCGTGTCAGTTTAATGTGGGAGGAAAGCTTGAAGTGATGCATTTCTCAGATGTTTACCACTTTGGTGAAACCCACGTGCACGGGGATGGTGCTGACAAACCTAGAAACATAATCGGGTCAAACCGGGATTCGAACCCACAATCACAGGTTTCTGGCGTGTCCAAGGGACACAACTCTGCACAGCGAATTGCGGCGCCTCAAACAACTGGGCCACCCGTGCCCCCAAGATCCAAGAAACCACGACAATTACTGTATTGATATTTACAGCTTGCAGGGAAGCTGTCTTCTTAATTACAAACACTGAAAGTAGAGTGAATATTTAGTAGTCTCTAACCATACATGAATATGATACACCAACTAAAGACTATTTTCCTGAAAGTTAGTTTTCCTATTTATGATATCACACAGTTTCATTCATCTTATTCAGACATATTTTTAACACTGTGGTCTTTATGTTTTGGTCTCCCTACTTAAAAAGCACTATTTGATCTAATCAGTCTATTAGCCAAGACTAAACTTGCAAGAATTCATTTCTTTAACAGATTCTGTCTTTATGCTAAGATCACAGACTGGTTAGAGGCATAACCGTTGCCATCCTACTGCTAAACTATCATTGGAATGGACAAAACACTTCTCATCTTGTAACAAATGTTATATTTGGGATAACACTTTCTTAGTAAAGTACAGATTCTAGAACTTTTGGGGGGGGGGGGGGGGGGGGGGGGGGATTGAAAAAAAAGAAAAAGAAAAAAAAGTACTAGAATCTGTACTCTTCTAAGAAAGTGTTATCCCAAATATAACATTTGTTACATTTGACCGCTTTCTCAATGGCATTGTGTATTCACTTCTCATCTTGTTTTAAGGGATGTATACAATTAAAGTGTGTTAAATTAGCAACATATACCATTCACAGTAGAACTAAGCACCCGGCTTTGGTAGCATATATATATTCTACAAATAGATAATAATATTAATAACTTCATCAACTTCATCATGTTCATCTGTTACAAACAGCATGATTATTCAAAACAGATGTCACAACTATAATCTGCATCACAGACGCGTAAAACAAATGAATATCAAAATATCATAAAACAAATTACCTTCTCTGGATTACATTTATGAATTTTATCTGAAGTAATGTATCAGTATCACCTAGAGCCTTATGGTTACATATACAGTATAATATTGTCAGGTTACAGGTGCATTAGTGACAACAGGAGTTACAGATGCATCCATGCTTACCACATGCATACTAAATACCAAACTGCACATATTAAAGACACATCCACCTCCAGCTTTCAAAGCAGAGAAAATGCCAAACAAAATCATAAGACGCGCAGTTCTTCTGACAGCATACTTTCATTATCCACTGATTGGTATGCAGGCCAAAATTTACAAAGTTGTTGAAATTTGTAGCCTGTCCAGACCCGTTCCACAAACTGAGCTTAGCACTACAAATAACACATCTTCTGGGTGCTTCCAATAGACTTAATACTGCTGTCAGTGAGTGAGTGAAAGAGACAGGTTTCTGTCTCTGTGTTCTAGATCAAAGTGAGTGGAAAGGACAAAATGAAGCACGTTGTAAACATATACCACCTAGTGAAATCAATGAGCACAGGTATGCTGCTGACAGACCAAGGACCAGAATTATTGCAAATCTGAGATTTGTCTTAGCAAAGGGAAGGAACTCTGCACAGGCCATCTGTGTCCCCTACTGCCTGGTTATATGTAAGAGGTAAATGTAAAATATTTCAGCTCCGCTATTTCATCAATGTCAGTGAATCTGCTCTGACCAGGAACATGTCATTACTCGGACAGATTACTTTCCAAACAAAGAGTCAATGTTGAAAACACACCATATACAGAAGAATATGTTTGACTGAATAATGATAAGTTTAGTATTTACAAGACCTGTTCATGAAATACAGTATAATATCAGAAAACGTGTCATCTCACTAGCTGGAGTAAGTACAATCTACCAAGTATATTACAATTAAGGGAAATTAGATATACTGACTCAGACTAGAAGGCTATTGCAAACTTTATTCCAAACCTGAGAACGCTGCAATTGGACTGGACAAATAATACACTGAGATGCTTGACTACATCATCATGACAGCTGGTACACATGCACACATCCATTATTTTGTCCTGAGAAGATCCGTTCCTGAGAGGGGTCAACAGCCAAGCACCTTGTGTGAAGGTTAGACAGTCGGACCAGGAGTTGTCCAGAACATGTGTCCCACAGGAGGAGAGATCCGGACTGGTCACAAACCACAAGGAGGTCCTCGAACAACTCACACCCCTCTGATCTACAAGACACAAATATTATAGTGACATCTTCAGCCAACTAGTAAGGAGAGTGTGGCTGTTAATTGGCTTTGTAATGTTGTCTGTTTGATGTAAGAGAAAGTATGATATGAACATAAGATTATTTCATTGCTATGGTAATGTACATTCATGTTTTGACACAGTTGGTAAAGCAGTTCCTAACATTTAAAATATTTTATTTTCATAACATTTTCGACAGTGATCAAAGTTGAGTACAGATGGTTGTGCTTAAAGAAACTTTTAATCAGTATCTCAAACACAAAATTATAGTTGGATCCCTGAATTCTAAGAACATAAACCTTAATTCCCACATGGCATGATGACTAAATCAGTACAACATTGCAGTGTTAAATATCTTACCAAAATTTCATCTTAGTTTTTCCAAAGATGCTTACAAGTTCCACAACTGAAAAATATTTCTTTAAAAAGGGAAGCAAAATTTGTCAGTTTAATGCCATAAATACATATGGGTCCCATAATGGTCCTACACATAAAGTTTCCACTCTCTGGGCAGTCCCCCAAAAAGTAGTTTCTTGAAGGTTTTCAAAGTTTGCATTTTTGCCATTTTGAAAATAGCATTATTATTATTTTTATTTTACTGGCATGAATAAATCTGAATACAATTGTTATGCTACATATTGTATCAATATATAAGATTCCCAGACTTTGTGGTGTCAGAGAAGAGGGTTCTTTTCAAGGTGTTAGTTGAAATGAGTGAGTGAGTGAGTGAGTATGGTTTTACGCCGCTTTTAGCAATATTCCAGCAATATCACGGCGGGGGACACCAGAAATGGGCTTCACACATTGTACCCATGTCTGGATTCGAACCCGGGTCTTCGACGTGACGAGCGAACGCTTTAACCACTAGGCTACCCGACCGCCATGTTAGTTGAAATGATAGCACAACATCTGTAACATGGAGAATTAGTCAAAACAAATGCATATACACAAATTATATACCATACCCCTTCCACTGTGGCACTGTCTCATACGAGACCATCTGATGACTTGTGCATGTCATTGGGTTCACAGCAAGAAGGCTTACAGGCTTATCTCCCTTGGTATTCATCATGGTCATCAGTAAATAACCCTGAAAACAAAGATGAACCTGATCAGAACATGATCACCAGTTGTCATGGGTGATGGTATCATGATGTCATAGTCTTCCAGACAGGCTTCTTGCAGCTCTGTGAGTAGACATAGAAAGAGTGCAATGAAAAATTACTGATGACTTTTTCTCAATGTCAATAAACATTATGGGTCTTGAGATTTGCACATATGATATGGTATCATCGGAAGACAGGAAATTTTAAACTTTGAAACTTCTGTCTAATATTATAGGTTCCAAATGAGATTTCTGGGCATCAGTAACACCAGCAAAACATAAAACACATAATGTTTTATCCCATATTGGACATTTGATAGTAATAAGTAAGTCCTTTCAGACACTTGGGCTCAACTGTGAGCTATCATCACGTTTGATCCCCTCTATATCGGCCTCAGGGATTAGGTAAATTTTCAAGGACATTTACTGACTGTCATCCAAAATGTCCTATTAAAAGTTGGTAAAATCATAAATATGTCCTTTTGCTATTTGACTCTTGCAAAACTTCAGTGTACCTGTCCTCAAAGTCTTAATCAGGATACCTCTGAGGCCCCATATGACCTCTGACCTCCTTAACACTGAACAGATTAGTAAGTTAGTTGGCTACTGACTTTGATGTGTACTTATGCATAATATCTCCCCTAATTGGTCGTGATTCACATCAGTCAATAATTGGTGAAGTTAATCAGAATCTTTTAGACATTGCCACGAGTCCAATGATTTTGTTAATACCAATTTAAGTCACTGACCTTGACCCGAGTTCACATGACATGTTTATGAATGGAATTTGATCTAAATCCATCTACATGTAAAGTTAATGTCTGTCAACCAGTCAGAGGTTTTAGTTATTGTTATGTGACCTTGTTAACATTGGCTGGTTGGCTGGTTTGGCAAAGTTAAAACTAACAAATCCATGTGGTTGTTAAACAGTCTCATATCAGAAACTATTGACCTATCAAGTTTGGTCAAATCCATCAACATTCAAAGCATAGTGATTCAATATTTGTTTTGTCATGCAGGGGACCCACATCCCTCTGAGGGTACAGTGTTTGAATCCTCTTCTTCACCGTATTGTTATGCATCACTATTCAGGTAACTTGTATCGTATCAAAGGCCATGTATCATGGTGCATCAGAGTTTTGGAGAATAGTTTCACACTTAATTACCGGTAGGAGAATAATTATGTGTTGAGCCTCAAAACATACTACCAAGCTACAGATCTATTACATTTTCACAACAGGTGATCAAGTGATCTGATTCCATTAGGTGGTGCCAAAGAAATGGTTGAATGTCTTGAATACCGGTAAATAAAAGTGACTTCATTGGTTGGAACAACCATGACAAGTTTCAGCATCATTGATATTTATTGTTTTTTGCAGTATCTAAATTTGTTAGTATTAGTAAATCAAGACATAACAAAGTCATAACTTACAAGATATGTCAGTGTATCCTTACATTTTCACATCCTTATTTTGGTTTTCAAAATGAAACAGGGCAGTTAATGGATCTGGAATTTCTAAGCTGCCAAACTATTCTGTGTACCAAAATACAATGTCATTGGCAGATGGTGTACCTGTTCCGACTGCACTGATGCCAATGTAACTGCAGTGGAACAAGTGAAACTGATGTCCACTGTCTGCAACAATAGTCCACACTCATGGTTCCTGAAAATACAAATACGCCATTGTCTAGGTATGCAACCAGCCAAGAGTATCTTAATAATAATGCAGATGATGAAACACTGCACTTCTTCAAAGAGTTATCTCCCTTACACCTTGCTGTGAGTGACTGCCTTCTTCAAATTAGACTCTGAATACATCATGGGCAAGAAGGAGAGGTGAAATGGGGTTACAAGTACCATCTTTTAACCTCCTTTTGTATGACGTGGCCGGGGATCGACCCTTGGACCTTCTTCCGGGCAGACACTCTACCACTTGACCACGGAGGCGGTCTCATGAGTTACGAAATCCTACTTCAAAACAGTTAATGTTGAAACACAAGTACATGTTATAGTTTATCATAAATGATTACCATATATGCAACAGCGAGTTGACTGTGAGCCCAACAATAGCTGGACTGAGGTCTTGGACAGAACTGATGCTGGTCAGATGACCATCTATGCTGTCCAGATTGATATCGTCCACTGTGGCTGTGAATGAGGTGTTCAGGGTAAGTTTCTGACCCCGAGTCACTGTGCCTTGTCTGTAGAAAACTGTGATCTGGCGGTCAGTGAGGGGGCAGCAAATACCATTGCTCATAGGACTGAAACAGTGAGATCATACGTAAAAATGAGTGATGAGTGGGTAAACAAGGATGGAAATTATAGCTTGCCTATATAGTAGACATGAAGCTAGTAGAAATTAGTGAGTGAGTGAGTTGGGTTTAACGCCGCTTTTAACAGTATTCCAGTTATATCGCGTCATGTCAGCTTAATGTGGCAGGAAAGCCCAAAGTGATGCAGGTCTCAGACATTTATCACTTCGGCCTTAGACGACTGGGCCCCCCGTGCCCCCCTAGTAGAAATTACCTAGGGCTAATAAAAACATAATTCTACTTGCCCGAAGAGCCTGTAAGTTTTTCTCCTAACATATTCTGTAAATTACATATCATCCGCTCGATCCCCCCCACCACCACCTACCCCCATTATATGCCAGGGGGATAAAAAGAATTCATTAACTGACAGACTTTCATGTACAGACTGCTTCTTGTAATCATACAGCAAGTGATACAAATAACATATGGGTAAATTTGACACACACATTACACTTTTTACAATTCAAACAAAACAATTAACCAAATCTGATTCCTATCATTCCGTTCGTGTCTTTCATATCTTACCATCTTACTGACACAGGCAGAGGAAGGTTGAACCTCGTCGAGTCACCTGATAACCAGTCATAGACAAACACACTGACCATGACAGGAACCTTGACACTTGACCCTGACATTGCTACAACAACCTTGTCCTCAGATGGCATCAACCAAGCTGTCTCTGCTTCACAACCCTAAGTGCAAAATAACTGAGATTAATTAACAAGTCCACCAGAGCCAACACGGTTACAGGCCGGCAAAGCCACATTTCGAAAATAGATAGCCCAAATTGATGTGGCTCTCGCGACAATGGTTATGGTTGCGTGATTGTATAATGTTGCTCTCATGTCTATGCTGTCAAAACATGCTTTGTGATTCTAACAGGTTACCGTATATAACAAAACAAATCTTGTTTTCTCATTTTTTATTCAACAAGGATAACATATTCATCAAAACTTTACATTGATGAATATGAATAGCATATGAATATCATAATGGATTTAATGTCATAACTGCAGATGAAGGAGGTCGCCCACGTGGTCAGCATATTCCATCTTACTCAGGTGTTGGTTCAGGAGCTGGATCTTGAGGGACGCAATACGTGCATCGATTGCCTTGTACTTCTTTCTTCGTGAAGGTTCTGACCACTGGTGAGAGAGTCTCAGGACTGCAACCTCTTTGAGTGACTGCTCTCGCTGAAATAGCTTCACTACCTCGTAGATGTTCGGGTGGCACTTCTTGGCAAGTTTCTTTATCTTGTTGTGCCACCCTTCCAGGTGATTGTTGGTACGGTGGCCTTGGTTTTCGAAATGGTTCCAAATCTCTGGCATGAAGGCCCATCCTTGAACCCAACTGGTTGTCACGTAGTCCATGAAGGCAGTCACTTTAGGGCCAGCAATGGCATCAAGTCACACATCATCCACTTTGTCACGAGGTACTAGAGGGAGAGCAGCAGCTCTTCTCACCAGCTTCTTCACCTCCTCATCTTCCTTATAGTCCATCACCAGACCTTCTTTCTGCACCCTCCTCCAGATACATGATACAATGTTCTTGTCTGAAGTGAAGATGAGGATGTCGTCACTAACACGGTGTAGGAACTGGTCGCCTCCCTCAGTCTGGGAGTACTTCTCCTCCAGCTGGATCTGGGGTCTGCTGTCAGGAGGGGCAATTTAAATGTGGGACACTCATTTAAAGGTATCTCTAAAGAACACCACGCTTAGTAATTTAAATGTGGGACACTCATATAAAGGTATCGGTAATCGGATTAATTAATTACCCGCTAGAATAGGTGAAATGCACTCAGCTGAAAATGTGGCTCTACCGGCAATAGCCATTTCTGAAATGTGGCCCTCCCGGCTAGACACCGCCAACACAGCTTCAAACCTATTTTTCATATTTGTTTTAATTAATGAAGGGTCACCTCGGTATGTAGGGTGTTAAAATGAAGATATGCCAACAAGCATCTATAGGTCTGAGTTTGTTGACAATGTGATTAACAGTTGCAGAACATGTTGTTTATGCCTATTACACTGATTGGATGCTTTAATGAAACTGGAAAAATGGACATCGACTGATAAAAACAATGAAAAGTGCAAGATTGAATTTGAAGGAAAAAGCTACCCAAAACACACGCCTGAACGCAACCGTGCATGATAAGTAACAGTCAATGTAGGTATGATATGATTCATTCCAGATGCAACAGAACTGTGCTCCTGAAAGTTGAAAATGCCATGTTTTTTTATACTTTTATGTCTTGCATGACCCCTCAATAATGAATGACACAGAGGATATATAATATTTGAATAAGGATGTCTGATCATGTTGATACTAGTGATAGTGTGTATAAAAGATGAAGATAGGTATTTTGATATTCCTAATTGATTATTGTTACCAAACAAAGTAAAAAATAAAAGGAACACTGTACATTGAACTGCATGAAGCATATTTTGTAACCATTTAACCAAATAATAAACTTTACCATGTTTACTACAGGCAGTGAAAACAAAATAGTACCATCACTTACCCACTTGCTTGAAATAATCGTTCTCATTTAAGTTATTAAGTTTCCTCATATCTAATAGTCTATTTGTTAACATCATTTTGGTGGGTGTAAATTGTTTTGTTTGGTGGCACAACATTTATATCAGAGTGAATGTTTATAGTAGTAACTTAGTATTCAATTAATGACTCATAACTTTAATTAACATTGGGAACTACTGTATTTGCTTACCTCTGGTAGAATCCAGTCCAGTTCATTTGTCCAGAGTGATTTTTCCAGGGACCAGATACTGAGGGATGTTGAAAAAAGAGTGACGACGAAGTCCACCAGCGATCCCGCAGTATGTAGTACTCCACACAGGACTGATATGACAGGCTCTGTCTTGCATGTCTTGGATACAGAAATTTGAAATCAGTGTTTATAACGCATGCTTACACATCCTATTTCCAATATATGTCTGGTGAATGTCATGAGGTAAAAAACATGATCAATATGTCTTGCAGTTGCACCATTTCAAACCTAAAGGCTTTTGAGTAAAAAAAACAAATCTTGTCAGTTTTGCATTATTTACGTAAGTTTTAATAAACATACGTGGACTATTATTAGCTGGTCTTACAACACTCAGGCTTTGGTTTAGAGGCCAAAGTCTCAGACTGAATCTATTTAGTAGTAAATTTTCAAAGGCAAGTGGAGTTTATTTGCTAGACTTTCAGGCCTTTTCAGTTCCACTTAAAACAAGAATTTCTCAGCTGATTTTCTTTTGTTATACCACAAAGTATGTTTTTCACTCTATTGTGTAAGTACTGTTAACCAAAATAATGAAACTCACTTTACCATGTTTACCAGTTTCTGCTGACCCAAATAATAAAGTGATAGTGGATTCATGTACATAAGGACTTGAAATTTTATGTCACTAGTCCTTGCCAGTTGAAATGGCCTATCTCTAGCATTTGTCTTATAAAGGGAGTTCATTTGATATCTAAAATGGACTGTAAATAGTTAGTGAACTTCTATCATTACATATTCCTCTTCACCCTGTGTTACTTTTTTTACATCAGAGATAACTAGTCTTACCTGAAAACATCCAGCAGTAACAAGCCTCCTCCCTTCTCTGGTTTCAGTCTCTGTATCTGCAGCACCAGCAAGACTGGAGAACACGTCTTCATCATCAACACCACAGTCCCCATCTTCTGGTAAAGCAGCAACACCAAATGGTGATGCCCTTGAAGCAGAAACTGGACTGCAAAACAATGGAGTCATCTCCTCTTTGACTTCCTGTGATGGAAACAGGGATGGTGAGCAGGTCAGGTCAGTTGAAGCCACATCATACTTCATTCTCCTTATCTGGTGCTTTGGGGTCACAAATGAGTTTTCAATCTTAGGGGTAGACATCAAGCTTAGTTGGTGTTTTGGTGTTGCGAAATCACATACTTCTTGCTTTGGTGTTTTAAAGCTGACAGACTGGTGTTTTGGTGTTGACAGGACAGATTGGTTTTCTTCTCTAGCAGTGTCAAACACACACATTTCATTAAGTAAATTCACGTTCTTGCAAATGTTGTTGTCTCTTTCTTCCTTAACATCACATAGTTTACTGTCATTTTCTAAAATACATCCATGTGACATCTTTGAAGGAATCTTCTCTGCTGATATACTTTGACTCATCTCAACTTTGATTAATTTCCCCTCTCCTGCACACATACTGAAATCCAACAGCTCAGCTGCATCCTCTGCAGTGTGGTTGTTCAGACTGTCATGAAATCTCTCTTTCTGTTCAACATGTCTGTTCCTTATTGGCTTAAGTCCATTTTTACACCTTCCAAATTGTAATGTATGAACTTTCTTTTCTGTGTTGTGTTTTACCTCAGATGTAAGATCATTGTCACTAACACTATCCTGAGATACATACTCAGTTAGTTTTTTCTGAACTCTCTTGTTAAATATATTAATTGGCAGTACAAATTCTTTCACATCTTTGATTCTCTTTGCTTCATCAATAATGAATTGGAACACTGATGATATCATAATGCCCTTCTTGCTTTTCTTCACACGTCTACATCCTTTTGAAACCGGCTTGGGACACAGCATCTGAGAACCACATGAAGAATCTGTTTCTAAATTCTCTGATGAAATAGGTTCAGAGTTAGAGTCATTGGGCATAATGTCATCACCAACTACATTCTTGAGACCTGCAGACAGCCTTGGAGATCGTCTTTGTATCAGCATACCAAAGTGACTCTTCCTCCCTCTTTTGCCAGGGACTGTTTCAGACAGTAAATCCTGACTTGAGAACAGACAGTCTGAGTACTGAAACTGTGAGAATGGAATGACATCCAGCTCAGTAAAGTCTAGATATTCGGCTGGTTGTGTCTGTTTTCCTTGTGATGACCCTGCTTTAGTCCTTGGGGAATTCTTTGAAGATTTCTTTCTTTGATGACTCTGATATTCTAAATCCCTTTCCTTTGAAAAACTCTTTTTGTTATTATCACATAAAATGTCAGATAAATTGGTTTCTTCAATATTTTGAGCATTAATCTGACAGTTCTTGTTAAAAGTGGACTTATCACAAACCTTCTCAGGCAAAGCTTTCTTCGGATTATCACAGTTGGGGTCCTCTTTTGTTATAGCTGTTGATTCTCTGGGATTAGAAGGCTTCAGTAAACTCTGGCTAGCAACTGGGGAGAGGGAATCTGAGACCACAGTAACTGAACCCTCTCTTACAACACTTTCTGGCTCTGAGGCCATGAATACAGAATCAGTCTCCATAATATTGGATTTGAACTTCTTTTCATCTTGTTGTCTTTGAGCACTAGCACCACTTTTTCTTTTTCTGCTCAAGGAAAGGGCTTTGTCCCTTTTGCAGTTTCCTGCGTTCTGAGAAACTGGTGATATAGAGTTTGGAATGGTTTCTTGACATACATTTGATTTGAATGTCCTCCGTATTACTATACAATCATCAAGGTTTTGATCTTCCTGAGATTCAAGTTTGCTTTCTAAAGAAACAAGTTTCCTATCTTTACACACAGTTTGACTGTCATTCCCTTTAACACTTGATCCTAGTGTTTCAGTTTCCACATCAAATTCAAGCTTAAGTTTAACATTTGTTACGCCCTTTTCTTGGCATGATTCATGGAGATAAATTTTCTCTGAATTGTTACTGACTGGGGCTGGTGTAAGAAACAAAGAATTGTCAAGATGTGAATCATTAGTATCACATAATGAAACCTTTTTCTCAAGAATAATAGGGTAGTCTTCAAGTAAGTCTGGACTTATTGTAATGCCATCATGTCTAAAACACTGATCCTTGACACCAGCCTGAACAAGACAAGCTGTCAACAAATCTTCACATTTCTCATTTTCAGTTGCCTTCACTCTTTCGTTACATTTCAAATGTTTGCGCAAAGCTTTGGATTTCAAGCCTGTGTCAACTGATTTTGAACAATGAACACTAAGTTCAGATTTCAATGACTGCCCACTAGCCTGTTCCAATTTAGCCAGAAAGGGTCGTCGTGATGATGGAGTTATCTCCCTTTGTCTATCATGGTCACTTTTGAAGTCTCTTTTAGTTCTGATGACACTGTTTTCAGATTTCTCATCAGAAAATGGTTGAGTTACATCAAGGGAAGAATTGCCCGCGGATGTTGGTGTCCATGAGTTACTATTAGTATCAGCACCTGCCTGAGACTCCTCTTGGTGAAGGTGAGGGGAGCCGCAGTTTCCTTGGATCAAAGCTTGTTCCCTCAGTTTTTGCTTCACATGTGCTTTTGCTCTTAAGGCACGCTTAGCTCTCTGCGTATTTACAGAAAAAGAACATGCAAATGATTATTGACATCCTTTCGCCATTACACATTTTATCCTCTGGACATTACTTAACATATTTTTATGTCATAATAAAAACACTATAGCTTGCTATAGTTGGTTCTTAACAACACATTCACAAATAAAAAGCCCAAAACATCTTAGATCTGCTGAAGTGAGTTACAATTTGACATTGCATCCAAAATATCTCTGCCATGTTGCGACTATATCTGCTTAAAGGAGTTATCCAAGAGACTGTGATCATAATTAAGATGCAACTAACCTCCATATCATGCATATATATCCTTACATTATAGACCTTGGGATAGATAATCTGAATCCTATATAGCACAGAATTTACATTGACTAATTGTATTGAAAACAGTATAATGAACATGATCTTAAGTGAAATCCTAAAACATGCAAAGAATGATTGCATTTGTTTTTCTCTTGCCTATTGTTTTTCATGTTCTCATGTGGACAGTGGACATATAATTTCTACACACTTAAAATTTTAAAGTTACTGCCCGTGGCCCTGTTGTATTATTCCTTAATGGATCCACTCTCATCAACTTCCTCACACCAATGATTGTGACTAGGGATTACTATGTAGACATATTTGTCAAAAACTGAGATACTGAAATACCAATGTGAGAAAAGAACAAGTTATATGTGCATTCTGAACATGATGGGTAAACTATTTCAAACTTGAAGGTTTTTCATTTGCCTGTTCACCTTCAATGTGCATGATGTTGGTGGAAGAAGTAATCAGAAAGATGAAAGGTAAATTGCCACAGCCATGTTTCTGCAGCTGCTACAATTTTCATTGTTGATTATATACCCACATTCCATTTACTAAAAACTGAAAAAAAGTCTACCATATAAATTGTTATTTTCAAAATCACTGCACTGTTAACATAGTTAAGAATTTTGGTAAAAATGGATTTGATAATGATACAACTCAAGAAAGATGAATATAAAATACTATAAACCTTATTTCACATACATATGTCATGATAAACTTGAGATCACATCACATATATTGACTCCAGTTGTACTTTTTGCTCACAGTTTCTACAATATTCACTCTGATAGGTAAATATGGAAACAAAATTCTTACCTCAAGTTTCTTTTCCTTCTTAGCAAGTTCTCTTTTCATTCGAGCTAGTCTTTCTAAAACCTGGAAAATAATAAGTTTGAAAAAATCTTATAGAATGTATGCATTTAAACAATACATTCATTATTTGCTGATTGTAATTAAAAGAACGTCAGAGTAGGGTCATACATCACTTCATGTTTATCAAAGCAGCGTGAGCAACAATGTAACATATGAAATAACAATGTAAAATGGCTTTTCAAAAACATTTAATAAATGTAGGGATAATAATCATATTGACTGATAAAAGTAGGGTAGACACCATGGTAGAAAACATATGAATTCCGTGCCATTTAGAAATTAAGGGACATAAAATATTTCCCATGGACATAAATCCATCTCATCAAGTTCACAGGTCATTTTACATGTGTTAACCAAGTGGTCCATGTGACATAACTAAATACTCAGGAGAAACAGATAGTCCTTCCATATTTTCATTATTAGCAGATTTCTTGTTGTGTCTAACCAAGGACTTGTATATATAGGTTATATAGGTGTGTGGTCTAACCTAGCGACAACATGATATTGACAATACAGCTCTTATATCCAACTTGAAACACCTAGAACATTATGTAGAATGAGCTTCGCAGAAAAAAATCATTCCAATTTTATGATGTTTATTGTGATCTTCTACAAGCGAATACATAAAGAAACAGGTCTAAAAGTAACACACTGACCAGAGTAATATTCATCTTCTTTCTGAAACCTTACAATGTACACATTCACTATTATAAAATTATGAGGCTGCACAGGACATAATTGCTATGGTAGTAGATGTATCATATGAAACTTGGAAGAAGGTTAGATTAGGCATGTTAGGTCATAAGAAAAATAAGTTATACTGAAACAAAAGAATGATACGACAATCATCATAAAACATGTAAAATATGTACCTCATTTCTGTCGATGGATTTGGATTCTAAAACCTCCATCACGTTCATTACGACCAGCACCTCTAATTGTTTGCTTTATTCATACACATCAGCTGAAACAAAAATGATCATGTTCAGTCCAGTCTCCGTAAACAATTTCCTACTGTACATGAGGAGATTGGAATTTTCTTTCTGTGCCCTATGTGCTTATAGCATATTGTTTATTGCCAAATATTGTGAAACTGAACCATAATGTAATGTAAAACATATAATATATATCTCAATATGTTTATTCACAACAAAAATGTTTGTCTCTTTTGTATAGGATTCCTGGGCTAGAAACTACCAAGCTGAGAAAGTTTCTATCCAAAATCTCCCACTAATACATAAATAGATCTATAAAACAGCCACTGTTAATATTTTTGGAATACAGTGACTCAAATTGTTCATGGGCAAACTGTTCGTTAATTTTGTAAAATATTTTTAAAAAATTTCATCGTCCTCTTTGTAATGGAGAGTGAAGGCCAGTGTGAAAGCATCAGTCTCTGAAAGAACATTACTATAAGTGGTACATGTTGCTTTCCATTAGTGACCAATAAATGTCCGACAGGAGAATCAGAGTTGTGGATCGCTACAGTTTTGCAGCTAAGCAAATACCATGCCTGACTATGCTCAGCTGGTGGACAAGTAGATTTGTGCATTTCATCTGCACTGGTAATTGGACAGAACACTTCATAATTAATGTACTCATCTCATAGTTGTTATTTAAACATTCTCATTGATATTTAGATTGGTAAAAACATTGTGATTTGTGACAACAGAGGTCTAGGTAAACTAAATCTGATGATAAGAAAAGCAACCGAGACCTATCTCCAGTCTACACCCACGTTTGACAGACTATGACATAATCACGGTAATAATGCAATACATCATCATACACATGCTGAAAAGAATTATGCTTCTAGAAATTTGGACAAGTAGTCTTCCCGTATTCATGTCCGGAAGGGTAGACTTTTGCACAACAGTTCAGTTACATGCTTTTGGAAATGGACACTAACCAGATGTTTTGAGAGAAAATCGGGTGTTGATGACTAAGCAGACGATATTAAAAGAACCAGTTTCAAAGCAGTCGTATCGGTTAATCAACTGAAACTTTTAAAGAATTAATGTATACGTGTGCATGACATTGTATTTTGACACGAATCATCTAAAAATAACGGTAAACATTCTCTCATAATATTTTGACTTTACATTTACCGCCATCTTGGTTTTGACCCTTGACGCATGCGCCTCAACGCGCACTTTCATATCCGTCATGCGCAGTGTAACCTGAGGAAGAGAAGCGATCATCTAGACGTTGTTTGCAATGGGTTAAATTTTGTCAGTTACATTTGTGTGTCTGTGTGGTTTATTCCAAAATGGCCATGGATACGTATCCCTTAAATTCTGGATAAAATGGAAACTATTGTTTTAATGCGTATATGGAAGCTCGATCAATCAGCGCCGTAATGATGTGCACTGCTGTTACCAGTAGTCCCTCGCCCCCTCGGCCTGTAAATTCGGCTTCTGCTTCCAAATCATACGATTATTTACTGAAATTTCTCCTCGTCGGAGACAGTGATGTTGGAAAAGAAGAATTATTGTCAGGGATGGAGGACGGAGCGACTGAATCACCCTACGGATACTCAAATTGTGGTGTGTATTCGTTCATTGTACTGTTGACAATCTCGCACAATCTCTTGTAAACATGTAAACATGACATCATCCAATGATGAGTGTTTTCACTTTTGAAGAGACACATCATTGCATGGTATAATCTAGATAGAGCTTTTCTCACAACTTTGCATGTTGATAAATGTATACTTTATCACACAATATACAATATATTCAGAATAAGAAATCCCTTGGCACAAACATGATTTTTTTTCCAAACGTACATGTATACATTGTTTTACACCTGACTGGCCTTATACAACATATCTATCTATAAATAAGACAACACTAGATACTGAATGTATATAAGCTGAAGTAAACATGGAGCGATGTGTACATAGTGCAGCTCACATATTTGTTCTATGTTAATCCACACCAGTTGTTTGAATTGTTGGACATGAGATATTAAAGGGAAGCAACACACCAACATTCAGTCGTCTAGCCGGCACCATTTTAATTATCCAACGTAATCACCAGAATCCAATTAGAGCCGGCAACCCCCCAAAACTGGGCTTCTGACCAGCAAGGGGCCAACTGGAAAACATCGTTCACAGCGAGGGTTTATCCCCTTGAATCCTCGCATTTGAATGTATGATGCTTACTTTAACATTTCACTTTGGAATATTCATCTGCCTGTGTAAATGTGTATGTACAATTATGTAGTTTGGTACACAGAAAATATGTGTATGTATTATTTTTGTAACAATGAAATTCAGTTTATTTCCTGAACAACCCTTATTTCTAAGGCAAATAGCATATAAAACAAAAATTACTACTTCCTTCCTCATGTTCCTGTTATAACCTTTGATTTGTGTATTTGTCATCATATAATAATATGTTGATTGATTATTCACTATTATCTGTCAAAGTGGATTTGTCAAAAATAAGTGTTTATATATATAGGTTTACTAAAGCACACTGATTACACCCATATATGTCCGATGTAAAAACAACATACTTTGGTAAAAGGATAAGCCAATAATACGTTGACTGATTGTTATCCAACTCCATGGATGTTTTAAGAAAAGGTGGACAACATGAACATAATTGTCACATGTGCCATCTCATCTGACAAATGAGACTTAACACCTATGTGAAACAACTGAAACAAACTGATCAGTTAAAAAACGAACACGGGTCATAATATCCCAATACGCTATAGATATTTTGAAATATTTGACTGTTACAATGACGTGTGATATCGGACAAGTTTCTTTGTACAACTTCACATGTATGGGATATTGTTCCTTTAAGTGGATATTGACGGATTCATTCTTCGAACAAGGGGACTGCCTTGATATTATACATAATTAGAACTTTTATTGGTTGTAATTACGATTTTTGCATTTGTTTTCATTCATGTGCTGTAGCAAGAACGCAAGAGGACTCAACGGCGACTGATCAAATTGTTCCATTCTTAGAACCAAACTGGCAACTAAAATCTCATTGTCAAAATATTTTTTATCAGATGAAATAATAGTTTCAGATACTATATCATACTATTCATCCCATCATTGCATCAACATTCTTTGAACTTATATATATTGTGTATTTCTTAACCAAATTAATGGTAGATTGGTAGAAAGTGTGCATACACCTGATTGCTATTCCCGGTTTAGTTTACGAGAAACTGCACCCAGTAATCTTTATTTCTTCATATGAAACAATGCCTAGCAGAACAGAATATGATTAAATGGTAAATCATCATGTTTAGTGATAATTTGTCTGAATTTCACATTTTTATAACCAAGTTTGTTATCACCTGATCGGTTACCTGAATTCTCTGAAAGGATACTAAGTAGTTTTTTGTTGTACATAATATGATGTTTACCGATAGCTTCATACTTTCAAGTCGTATATGCATTAATCAACTACAAAAACACATGTCAGATTGGCTGCAGATCTTTATTGTATACCTTTGTTATGATTTATGGCGTCAAAGTTATGGTTAATAATAAGCAAATTTTGAACCAATTTGAGCTGATCCATATTCCAATACTTTTAAACTTTAGTTAAAATGACACAAGTTAAATAGCTACTTTACTTCTCATAGTTTCTGTAAAATTGGTTGCCTGGATGTGTATTCCTGATGTTTGGCAGTGTACAAACATTAGCCATGAAAGTTGAGTTGTCCTTGTCAAAAATAACACCATGGTAACAGTTAAAGATGCAGGGGTGCCTTGATTCAAATACTATATAGCAACAAACCCCAAGGAAAATTTCAAAAAAATCCTATTTTTCTTAATTTAAAAAAACCCGAAATTGACATTACAAAGATCAAATCATCATGTCTGTATATACATTTCAATACTACTTATAAATTATTGTTTGAAATGGGAATGACGAATTTGTAAATTTCAACAATTGTATCACATATTGTTAAGATCTCTTCGTGAATACTTGTTTTGAGCTATGTCACATAAGTAATCAAGCTTTGACCACGCATCCCAGTGATTGACAGCATGATCAACAGTCCACACAGTATGGGTTTGATAGGACACAATCAGTCAGGAAACGCACTATAATCACCCAATCCTGGGGTACAAGAGACCTATCCTGATCTGTTGAACCATTATCATCAAGATCATGAGTTGACTGATTAATGTTGAGTGCTGAATATTTCAGTGTAGGTGAAATCTCTGCTCAACAGGTAAGACTAATACAGAACAGACTGTTGTTTGTTTTACTGTGCGTTAAACTAAACTTTACTAAAGATGTCTGTATTACAATATTTGGTAGTTATTTTCCTGTTAATTTTATTACTTGAAACTGCTATTGTTAGAAAATAATGATTAATAGCAGTGGTGTTGTGGTGTATGAGAGAATTAAAAAATCTTTATTTTTTTCAGGAATTGATTATAAAACGACAACGATTCTGTTGGATGGCAAAAGGGTCAAGTTGCAACTTTGGTAAGTGTATGACATATATGAAGTACAGATGCTGACACTGTGTGATCACTGATATATCTTGGATAACTATTAGCATGGATGATCTGTTCAGTACAAAGAAATTCACAATACTCTACATTGTTCATTCTGTTTCAACCTGTGCCACGATCCAAAGATATTCAATGGAACACTCCATATATTGAAAGATGTGTCTGTAGTTTTGTTTTTAAAAGCTGGTATTGTTATCAAGTGACTTCAGTTTCTGGTACATAAATGTTAGTTGTCCTGACTGATAGCGAATAATCATGATAATAGCTATTGTCAGTGATTATGAGCAATGCTAATGTGAGACCACACATTTTGTTAATATTCAGGAAGTTTGTAATGTTATATTGTCAGTGTTGTCATGGTTTAGTGTGGAACCCAGGATATAATCATGAATATTGATATCATTATTTTACGATAGTGGTTGTCATGGTTTAGTGTGGAACCAAGGTTATAATCATGAATATTGATATCATTATTTTAAGATAGTGGTTATCATGGTTTTGTGTGGAACCCAGGATATAATCATGAATATTGATATTATCATTTTACAGCAGTGGTTATCATGGTTTTGTGTGGAACCCAGGATATAATCAAGAATATTGATATTATTATTTTACGATAGTGGTTATAATGGTTTTGTGTGGAACCCAGGATATAATCATGAATATTGACATTATCATTTTACAATAGTGGTTATCATGGTTTTGTGTGGAACCCAGGATATAATCATGATTATTGTTATTATTATCATTTTACAATAGTGGTTATCATGGTTTTGTGTGGAACCCAGGATATAATCATGAATATTGATATTATTTTACGATAGTGGTTATCATGGTTTTGTGTGGAACCCAGGATATCATCAAGAATATTGATATCATTATTTTACGATAGTGGTTATCATTGTTTTGTGTGGAACCCAGGGTATAATCATGAATATTGATATTATCATTTTACGATAGTGGTTATCATGGTTTTGTGTGGAACCCAGGATATAATCATGAATATTGATATTATTATTTTATGATAGTGGTTATCATGGTTTTGTGTGGAACCCAGGATATAATCAAGAATATGGATATTATCATTTTACGATAGGGGTTTTCATGGTTTTGTGTGGAACAAAGGATATAATCATGAATATATCCTTATTATTATTTTACAATAGTCATAATGATGCTCTAGGGCCCTTGCACACCCTTATGTTCTAACACTGACTGTGCTTGCTGTAAACATGGTATGCAGTGTTTTAACTCTGAATTTTGTAATGAGCATGACAAGCAATTTATTTGTTCAGTTTCAATAAATGTACAGTAAGTGTAACTGAAACTTCATCAAATTCTTAAAGCATGTACATATCTTTTGGAACACCTGGAAAAAGGTTCAGCCCTGCTGTGTAAATATTCTCCATATTACATAGTATTCTTCCAACTCCTAGTCCTATTCATTTAAATTTGGCTCCCCAAAACATGGGAGATAGTTCTGTGTCTTGTTTGTCTTCACATCCTTTTTATCCTTGTTCCTGCCTTTTAGCACATATGTTTAGTACCTGATAACAGCAACACATCTATAGTTTGGGATGATTAGCGCTGCATCAATTTTGATGTCACTTGATACATAATTTGCTTTCTGTATATCACATGTGAAAGTGAACAATTTGCTGCACAGATTGTACTTAAGAAATTGGAAGAAAAAATATATTATTGTTGCCTTAACCTATTTGTTTCTTGGTTGACAGGGATACATCTGGACAAGGGAGGTTTTGTACCATCCTAAGATCTTACTCACGAGGGGCGCAGGTATGTTTGACTATATGTTTATCCTGTTGATGTTTAACAAGGTGTGTGTAATCAGTGATCTTATCATAGTGATACTACTGATACTACTATGGTATATGTTTATTGTTTAATATGAAAACATGCATTGTTCAATGCATGTATTACAATATGCTGAAATGCTGTTTTCTGAGCCAGGCCTATGACAGATGTTTGTATGATATATCATCATGTTATGTTTGCCTTTTTTTCAAATATTTTTATCATTGCTAGTCTTGCTTGTTTAGACCATCAACCTGCAGCAATGAGCTGGTAGTAACTTTCAGAATGTTTGTCTCGTAAACATGGAAGACATTGTTTGTGTCAGTCATCGTGATCTGATGTACAGTATCACAGGTCATGTATGTGAGTATCACAATAAATGTCAATACCATTACAGTTATAGTGTAATGCTTTCATCAATAAGATAACGGGTATTTTTATGATGATTTATGTGATCTGTATTCGCTAGAGGTAAAAACAACATGTTGTAGACCCAGCACACTGTTAGCTTTGATATTTGAGTGATGCAAGAAACCAATATTGATCTTTCCTAGACAAACAGGTGGACAAATACAAACATGTGTCATGATATGAGGTGTGGTCACACATGGCTTGGGTTGAGTGGCGGGTAATTATGTTCATACTTCCCATGTCATCAGCACTTTTATCTATTTCAAAGGATATCTACCACGGAGACTGCTTCTAGATAAACCTTTAACTTTTGGAAACATGTACCGGTACATTTCAGTGGTTGTGATTGAAAGTTTCCGACAGCCCGACAGAAAAGTTACCAGCCACGGGCAGGCAGTTATTTTGGACGCTGATTGACATGTCAATTATTGTTGCGACATGTGTTAAAGTCATTCATTCACACAACATCAATACTAAGAAATTAATGACTTTTGACATGATAATTGATATGAACACGATGAACAATACTGGTAAAACAGAAGCTACATGTTAATGAATCTGAGGCAGGTATAAATTAGAAGGACTACAGGTAGTACATTTCCCCCAAATTTGTCATGTTTTTACATATATTAGTTATGAGTTGTGGACAAGTGGAATTTGACTTGCCTTGAAAATTGATTTGCCTTAGCATGTCTTTGTGAAGGGTACCACTGGCTGGGCAGGATATGCTCACCTTTTCTTTCAAACCTGGTATCACTATTTGATAGTATTATGAATCCTTCAATACATCTTTGGCTACTTTTTTTTTATGGACCTTAACTGTCATTGATAACATTTATGACACTGGTAGGAAAACTATCTCGACCTGGGTCATGGACTCGCTATTTTTTATGTAAGACCTGCTCATGTATGTTAGGCAACAAACCACTACATCAACTGTTAAACAGATATGATATGGAAGCACTGAACTTGTTTTGACCACTGTCTGTTACTGTGTTAGTTGATTGTACATGGTAGCCACATGATGGTGACTGCAGAATTGGTTGAATTTAGCATATGGTAGTAGTTGGATTGAAGACCTGATATTGGTTGTACATGGTACAGGAAATAATCAAGTAATTAACATAGAACTTTTAATCCAAGGGTATCTTAATTTCTTAAAACTGGTTTTGTACAATGAATCTACTAAGCCAGCGTTAGAAACTGGCACTAGTCCTGTAGTCCTTGCCAGACTGCCCAACAGTTAAGGTATCGTATGGGATTTGCTGTGTGTTATTATCATGATTATGAGGACTAGTGGATTAAAAATATTTGTTTCTGCTGCTGCTAAACCATCTGGCATGACCAATCTGATTATTTGGCTAAGACTAAAAATAAATTATGTGTTTGTGAATATCTGACAAGCTCTAATGTAATGTCCCCACACCAACCATTTTCAGTGGTACACAGTTTGTGCCAAGAAGGAGCATACACGGAAATGTATACTACTGCTGACATTACAGTTGTTCTCAAACATAGGCATGTTTTGTTGTTGTTGTATTTTGGTTTTTAAAACCAAACCATGCAACTATCTACCTTTCCTAGTGAGAAATAAGTTGTAATTTGAACGACAACATTATTTTGTATTATTCCTGGTGTAACCATGGTTACCAGATAGAACCGACTAGACTAAACTGCCTCATGACAATGTATTTTTTTATGAACAATGATATTCATCAGAGTGTGCTGGTATGGTGTTCTAACACAGCTAGGACAGAACATGTCTTATCTTTGTCTTAACTAGCCTGTGGCTCTTTGCCTGAGGTTGAGGTATGAGGACTTAGCTGAAATCCCAGCTTAACCTGCATGTTATCATGACACAAGATTGTTGACATTGAATGGCAAGAAGTACCCCATCCATTTCTCCACATGGATTTTCATAATAGATAATCTAGATTAAGTTTATTCATGGCGCTGACATATTATTTTTGCAAATTACTCCTCTTTCAATGCTGGTGTCATTTTGGTGTATTTTCAATGGGCCCTATGACCAGTGAAGACTAGGTAGTTTCACTCTTTGTGGTACAGTGTTGTTGTAATGGCGTACAATTGAGGTGACAGTAACATACTAGACATGCAGTCATGTCCTGGGCCCACTTGCACAAAACGATCTTAGTGCTAAGATGATCGTAACTCCCATACTTCAGCATAGGCTTACAATAGTCTTAGCGCTAAGATCGCTTTGTGCAAGTGGGCCCTGAACCTGATCAGTAATGTAGTAGTGTAAAGTGTAGTTTTGATGAAAAGGACATCTACAACTTCCAAATTTATGTCATTCTGGGTGACTAGATTTCATAGTGCCTATTCTGAATATACTAAACAAAAAGTTTAAGATATGAATATTTTTGGGGATATTATTTATATTAAATTGTGTGCTCAGTCTTCGGTACCATAAATATCCCCCAAATAGTCATGACCCCTAACTTTTTATGTTCAGTATATTATCCATCTTCCCGAGGCTAGAGAGTTAACTGACTATAAAAGTCCAGTTTCCACCCTTGCCGAACTAGGCTGGTATTATGGAGTTACATTTTGGCTGGACTAACGAGTCTATGCATTGTCCAATCAAAATCGCGCACCAAAATCGAAATCCGGTTCGTAAACTGTCATGCAGATTTCGATCGATTGCAGGATTTGCAAAGCATGTGCACCGCCAGCTTGTTGTATCAGCAGATATTTTCCAAATCTTTCATGATTTTAATCAAGATGCTCACGTGATTTGATGCATTTCGTGATGTAAGACCCGTTTTATCACAATATAGATTTTGATTATCAATCAGATCGTCCTGACTGGGTGCCACCATTTTGTGTGAAGCAAACACAAGTGATACGAGCAGTGGAATCTGATTGGTCCATAGGAAAGGCTTAGAAGGGACATAACTGGTAATAGCCACTGGTGGCGCTATGATCGAGTCCAGTAATTCCAGCCTAGTTTGGCAAGGGTAGAAACTGGACTTTTAAAGTCAGTTTACTTTCTTGCCTCGTGAAGATGTATATTATCTACAGATTCCAACGTGCAACAATTTGTGTATGTGCTGTCTCAGCAAAAATCCGGGTTTATTGAGAACAACATCAATCTACTGCATTTTACAGTTACTTCTGAACGTTGAACACAGTCTTATTTTATGTATGATGGACATACTCAGGTATGAAAAGTTCAAAGAATAGTGAAAAAATAATCTGTAAAGCACCTGGTACTATGTTAAGATACAACTTATGACTCTGACTTGTAATGAATAAGTTTTGAAGAGTGAGTGCATGGAGATTGATGGAAGAATAATCAATATGGATTTTTGGGAAACTGTAACGCCTCTTCCCACATAGAAATGTCAGCTGTAAACTGTCCCTGGCTGGATGCCGGCTTGCTACTCAGCCTGCTGCTGTCTTCAGATTATTGTAATGCCACTCATGACATTTGTGGTATTCCGTTTCATTATCCTAGCTTTGTGTAACATCTTGTTCTACATTAGAGCGCTTAGTGTTTGTCTTCACAGAATTAGGGAACGTAATACAGGAACAAGCTGTACATTATTCAATGGGTGTTTGTGTGTGGGTGATAGCTAGGTAGTTAATTAGTTTTCTGCATCCTCAGTTTGCACACTGAAGCTTGACAGTACTTCTAATCAGGTGCTACTTTTTTTATATACAGTAAACTACGTTTATAACAAACACGCTTTTATCGAACTGACCGATATAACAAACTGGTCCCGTCCATTTGCTGTATATAGGCTGTATATATGCTTATAATGGACTGAGGTTACAACAAACAAAAATAAGTGGTCCCTTTTAGTTTGTTATAACCATGGTTTATTGTAATGTATGTGGTTGAAGCAAACATGCATGTTTTTCATGGTTTCTGAGATCCAGTTTCCTGAGCATTTTTAAAAAATACTTTTGACATCAGTTGAAGGAGTTTACTTACTGCTTTCTCAAGGTTCATGTTTAGATTCTTATGTCAGGTGTTGTCTTGTCATTAATGCTGTCAAGCTTATGGCGACTGCCATTATCATCTAATTTCTTGATTCTTTCTGTGTATTTGTGAGGTTCTGCTATATTGTTCTACTTCCACTTATTGATGCCTTGTAGATAATTTACATCATTCTGCATGTGAATCATGTCGGTGAATGTGTTTAGTTTAAGGTGTTTGGTCTCTCTAGGCAACTTACAAAATATCAAATGTTTTGCGTGAAGATTCCGGGTTATAATAGGTCTTCAGCAACCCATGCTTCCCGTAAAAGGCGACCATGCTTGTCGTAAAAGGCGACTAACGGGATCGGGTAGTCAGACTCGCTGACTTGGTTGATGCATGTCATCAATCCAAATTGCGTGGATCGATGCTCATGATATCAATCACTGGATTGTCTGGTCCAGACTCGATTATTTTACAGACCGCCGTCATATAGGTCGAATATTGCTGAGAGCGGCGTTAAACAGCAAACAAACAAACATCAAATGTTTCACAAGTGTTACAAACAGCTTAAACAAATCATGCGACTTTAGCAGTCATTGCGTCAAGTGCATGGTTCCTGCAG